CAGGTGTGTTCAGTGCAGCTCCTCTGACAGGTGAGCGACAAAACGTCTATTGGAAAACAGTGGAAAGTGCGTTCTACACAAAATTGCCCAAGTTTTCAATTGGCAGGGTTTTTAGCAGAGTTTTTTTTTATTTTTTTTTTATTGATTGATTGATTTTTCTTTTCTTTTCTTTTCTTTTCTTTTCTTTTCTTTTCTTTTCTTTTCTTTTTTTTTTCTTCCTTTTTTAATGAACGAACTTTTCTAAGAACTGAGCGCATTTTAAATGTCCATACCACTGGTCATCATGTTTTTAGAAAAACTGTGATGTCTGTTAAAATGTGAATCCGGGGGAGGGCGTCACACTTTGAGAAACACTGGCTGACATGGAGGATGGTTGGATCCAGATTGTCCGGAAGACCAGCGTCATCTTTTCCGACACGTCTTCACTCGTCAATTGATAATGAACAGAGATTTCCTTTTAATTGTTGTTGTCAATACATCTTAAATTTGCATCTGGTCACAAATTAGTCACGGAAAAATGGGTCGTCAACGACAAGTTTTGGTTGAAGTTGACAAAATGAGCAGTGGCCCACTGCCCCGGGGTCAGACGCGCCCCCCTGGGGCCGCACTAATTGAGGAGGACTGGCTCACAGTACTGACTGTATGTTTTTGTCTGTTAGTTATCAAATTTAACTTTACAATTCATTTGTATTTGTTTAATTTTGGGTGTAAGAATGTGCTATCTTGTCCCTGGGAATACTTTTTGAAGATTTTTTTTTTTTTGTGCGAAAGTGATAAAACAGTGAGTCCATGTGATGTAAGGGAAGAAGAATCCTCGTTACATTCCTGAACTGAAAGAAGTTAGTTTTCAAAGAGGACATACTTGTTTCTTCACATTTTGTTTCTCTTGTGTCTCTTGTATGGAGTAAAGAAAAGAAGACTTGACCCACTCATTATCGTGTCTATTTTTGCTCATCCTCAATTTCAGCAACACAGCAGTTTTAAACTGCTGAACAAAACTCCAAAACACAAAAGTCTAAACCCAGAATAACCTTCTAGAGTGAAATAGATTTTAAAACTATTAGTTAAATTCTCATTGAAATCTGATAATAACTGAGTAACACAAGTCATTTTTAGTAATTTTAGTTTAAATAAATAAATAAATAAATAAATAAAGTGACAGTCTCTTCTGTGACATGACCTGAGCAACGTTTTCCTCCTATTAGAGCCAGACTAACCTCTACTGGTAATTTAAATCTGTTGTTGCAGTTGTAATTCTCATCTAAATATAATCATAACTGAGTCACACATCTAATTTTCACATCCTATATGTTGTCACTCATGCTGTTAAGACTGTTCACTTTTAGTTTCTTCTTTGCATTTGTTTTACAATAATAATAATAATACATTTATTTTGTATAGCGCTTTTCACGATACTCAAAGTCGCTTAAAAGGGGAGAAGATAAAAACAAGAATTTATCTCAGGCAGAAACTTGTAAAACTGTTACACACAACTTAAGGACTATTTAATCGACAGTTTTTCCAACACTTCCACGATACACCAATACACAACTTAAAATGACAGTGCTAGCATGCTATATATGTAGAGAGAATGGGATTTCTGGTTGAATACTTAAAAATAAAACATCACTTGTAAATAAAAAGTCACAAAATAGCCATTTGACAGAACGTGTAAATTATTCCTACCTGTGATTTTAAAAGCAGAGGATTAGATCCAACGCATGTGCTGTTCTTTAGCCTTCTGGTCCCGTTTCTCCGTAAGTGATAGAAACCCGTTGGTGCACTTCTTGTCCGTTCAGTTTCAAGTTAGAAGCATAACTGCTTTTGCAAGTCAGGCTTTCAGAAAACAGTTTTCAAACTAAAAGCAAATTATTCATACATCTAAGCCTGTTAAAGCATTTGCAAGTAGTTTGGTGAATTAACAACAGGGGAATAAAAAATATTTTAACAGCTAATAAATTTGTTTTCCATGTAAAATATGTTTGAATATATTCCACCATGATTTATTCTTTCTCCAGTATGTTTTAATAACTGCTCTATGGAACTTTACATTTGTTCTTGTTACGGCGGGTCTGAGAACCCGTAGGCGGACACAGATGCAGGCACACAGGCAGGTGGGGGTTTAAAGGGATTTATTGAATAACAGAATAAACAGAAACCAATACAGAGAATGTAAGCTAAACTGAGGGTAGGAAACAGAATGGGTTAAACCAGACCTAATTCATAAAAAGGGGGGAAAACTATGAAAACCTAGAGAAAACTCTAAACACACCAAAAGGGAAACTAAGTAAAACTGATTTGTATTAACTAAGCTAAAACTAACAAAATAGGGATACTCACAGAAAAGGGGACAAAACTGAGGGGGCAGACAGGCTTGGGGAATCTGGGGTCTGGTGAGAGGCTGGAGCAGGGTTGGTGGGAGGTACGACCAGGAGAACAGGGTACAAAATTGAATGGAGGAAGACAGGTTGAGGGAATACAGTCTGGAAACAGGTTGGGGACCAGTGACAGGAGAAGGCTGGCTGCAGGGAGGAACCAGGTCAACAGTGTAACTGATGCAAGGTGGAACGAGCTGGTTTTTAAAGGAGCTGTGGTGATGAGACTCAGGTGAGCTGATCGCCACAGCTGTCTCCAACCGCTGTCATCAGGTACAGAGGACCAGAGCGACAGGAGAGGGAGAAAGAGGGAGCCAGGCATGGGCTGAAGCGAGGATCCTGACAGTTCTACAACTTCATTTAACAGATGCTTTTATCCAAACTGATGTAGATCTGAGAGCAGATTCAACACAAGCAAGGATCTAGTCAGGAGAAAACAATCCAGATAAGTGCCATAGAACAAGTTCAATGTGTGTTAGGGAGTTGATGCCAATAGCAGGCTGTGTGAGAGGTAATAGGATTTTTTGGGGGTTTTTTTTGTTTTATGTTGGTTTGTTTTCGGGCAGTCAAGTGCAAAGGTGTTCAGTGAGGAGCTGGATCTTTAGTCTTTTTTTAAAGACTGACAGGGAGTCAGGAGATTGAGCAGAGTTTGGCAACTCGTTCCACTACCGCGGAACCACAGAGAAGAAGAGTCTAGCAAATCGACCTCGGGCCCTGTTGCGGTGGTTGTATCAGGCGGTTTTTGTTGGTCGAGTGTAGTGAGCAGGAGGGAGTGTAGATCTGAATGAGAGAGTTCAGGTAGGACGGAGCTGTTCTCGTTGTGGTTTTGTAAGCAAGTGTCAGGGTTTTGAATTTGATGCGAGCAGCAACTGGAAGCCAGTGAAGCGATCTGAACAGCGGCCTGACGTGTGGTTTTTGGCTGATTGAAAACCAGATGTGCTGCTGCATTCTGGATCATCTGCAGAGGTCTGACCGTGGATACAGGGAGACCTGGCCGTAAGGAGTTACAGTAGTCAATGCGTGATATGATTACAGCTTGAACCAGGAGTTGTGCTGCATGTTCAGACAAGAAAGGTCTGATCTTCCTGATGTTGTACAGAGCAAATCAACACGACTGAGCAACAGAGGCCACATGGACCTTGAAGGTTAGCTGGTCATCAATCATGACACTCAAGTTTCTAGCAGATTTTGATGTTGCAGATGTTGATTGAAAGTCCAGTGTGGCAATCAGACACCTACTAATGAACAACTGAATCTACTCATAAACAAAAACAATGCAAGGTCACATTACAGCCAGACATGCCAATACAGTAGGCTGCACTGACAATGAATGTTTCTTTTATTTCTTTATTATCTATATACGCTAATCAGCCACAACATCAAAACCACCTACCTTAATGTTGTTTGGATCCCCCTCATGACACCAAAACACCTCTGGTCAATTGAGGCATGGACTCCACAAGATCTCTGAAGCTGTCCGGTACCATCAGACACCAAGACGTTGGCAGCAGATTGTTTAGCTCCTGCAAATTGTGAAGTGGGCCCTCAATGTGTCAGACTTGTTTGCACCACGCATCCTACGAATGCTCGATTTATCTGAGATATGGAGAATGTGGAGACCAAGTCAATGCCTTGACCTCTTCAAACCCTTCCTGATCTATTTCTGTAGCGTGGCGGGGAGCATCATCCTGCTCAAAGAGGCCAGGTATACGTGTTCTGCAACAATTCTTGACTGGTTAGTAAGTGTCAGAGTAAATCTATTATTGTATATACCTCAGCCTGTTGTGTAGCAAGAAGGTCGCCGGTTCGCGTCTCAGTTAGGACACAGGGATCTTTCTGCGTGGAGTTTGCATTTTCTCCCCGTGCAGCATGGGTTCTCTCCGGGTTCTCCGGCTTCCTCCCACAAGGTCCAAAAACAAGTTGAGGTGATTCTAAATTGTCCGTAGGTGTGACTGTGAGTGTGTTTGGTTGTCTGTCTCTAAGTGTAGCCCTGTGATAGACTGGTGACCTGTCCAGGGTGTCCCCTGCCTTCACCCTAAGTCAGCTGGGATACTACGAAGCAAGATCAACAAACATAGGATATGCTTCAGAGATCTGGCTTGACGGTGGTTATCGACTCGTTAAATCAACCCAGGTTTGTCTGATTCGAGTATGAGCGTGTGCACATAAAATAGGTGGTGTTATCAACATCTGACCAATCGCGACTATGTACAAGTCTGGCTGCAGAGTGGCTCACTTTACCGCCAAGGAGCAGAATATATTCTTTACAAAATATGAAGAATATAAAAACATCATCAGGAGCAAAAAGCAACACGATTGCAGTGGCCAAAGCTGGGGAGGAATGCTGGCAGAAAACTGCTGACTGTGTGGATGCAGAAGTTCATTAGTTTATAATATCAGAAAATATGATCACTGTTCCATCATGAAGGCACGTATCAGACAATTAGCAAATCTGAGGATTCCTTTTAATTAATTTGTTGCCTAATGTATATACTTGTGACATATTGTTGGAATATTTAATTTTGTAAAAGCACTGATAGCTTAATATTGACACTCGCATCATTTAATGTGCACTACTCTATGAGTTGAGCTGATCTGAAGAAGGGGAAAGAAGGATTCAAGAAGGCCTTGAGAGACTGAACTCAGGGAGGTTAAGCCAGGTCAGATAGAAGGAATGCAGCGGTTCACACACACACACACACACACACACACACACACACACACACACACACACACTATGCACAGGTAATGGCACCTAGCAGTACCTTGCACTGATAGGCTCCCACTACAAAGTAATAGCATCAGCTGGAGTATATGACAGCTAAACAAAGGCAAAGCGCTGACATCCAGAGAGTGGCAGATGTTAGTAGGGAGGTTTTCCTTTACAGATGCTGTGGATTGGATGAATTGTGTGCCAATCATGTGCCAAGAGGTATGGACACATCTGTGCACCAACAAAGGGAGAGCGAAGTTTAAACCACGGCTCCTCTCCAACAGATAGCCATTCACGTTTTATTCTTTCAATTCAGTGTCTGTGTTAAGTAGCCAATCACCTTGCACTCCACTGATTAAAATGTTTATGCTTACATGAAGCTCCATCCATTGCTGGGGAAGTTGGTCACAGATTAACAGCTTGCTGACAATGATTTTCTGAACCAGTGATGGCTCATTGATCAAGAAGAATATCACGTTGTAGAATAAATAGCATTAAAAGAGAGAAGTTGTTGGTCTTCTATCTCAAAAAAACGGACACGCCTCAACAATATCTGACTTTTTTTTTGCTTTCAGCTGCACGCCTTCACCTCTATTTGACAGGTAGTAATAACACTGCTATTACTTTGAAAAATAATAATAACTATCATCATCATGATTGTCATCATAGTAAAGAGAAAAGGAGAGAAGAGGACATGGCAGGAAATTTCTAAATCCAGCCTGAGGAGAGAGGTAAAAGATAGACATTTAAAGGAAAGGATGTCAGTGTGTGCACATGCATGACAATAGGCCAACATTTTCCAAGCCCCTTATGTTCTGGGTTCAGCCCCTGAGCCCTCCCACCCCTGTCTGCCCCCAACCTACTGCCTCATCTCTCTCCTGCTACACCTGAAGAAGACTCTGACTCACTCCAGCCCAACCAGTTCAGTCCATCATCAGCTCGCTCCTCTTTTGAACTGAAGATCTTGTATCTCTCTCCCCTGTCAGCTCTAGCATCTGGCTCTAACCCTGCTTCCTCCAGATTCCAGACTCAGGCTCAGAGCTGGACTCTTGTTGCTGTGATCAGCCCTGAAACCCTGTCCGTTAAGTGGAGAAGCCTTGCCTGGTCAGCTCTCTTCTAGTGTTACTTGTGCAATCCCTGTACCTGCTTCTTAGCTCCAGACGATAGTTGTACTCTGCAGGTGCTAACTTGAGTGTTTAATTGTGGCTTCGTACAGTTCTGCTGCTACACTGTTGTAAACTTCTGGTTTCATTCTTTGCTAAGGTTCTGTGGTGACTACGACAATGCAATGTACATTAAAACATGATCTCAGGATTGTTGAATAGGATTTAGTTGGCAAACAACGCCACTCTGGGAATTGCACCCAGAGAATTATCCTTCTCCCAACACTGGAGGCACACAGGTCCGTTGTACTCAGGAGGCATGGATCCAAAGTTGAACAAAGCACTTTATTTTGAACACGTTTTAAAATATATTTGTTTTAAAAAATATACCATTCACACCAGGGAGAACAGAAGAGAACCTAATCAGATGCTGAGGCTTATCGGTTGGACAGGGGCTAGTAAAGGGGACAGGAATCCACCAAAATAAAGCAAAATCGCCCACACACACGTGACACACACTCGTAGTGAAATAAACCACCACCACCTGGATCACCAGCACCACAGCCATCGGCCTTCAGCAACTGAAAAGGATAAAACACATTAATGGGGGAAGAAACAAGCAAATGAATATACCTTTAGTGGTACCAGGCATTAAAATGAACAAGAAATTAAAGAAAGCAAGGGCGGTCTAATCATTTTTTCCATGCAGTCAAGGTGAATCCCTCAGTAAAGCAAAGCATCCGTGTTAGACAATCAGCCAGCCAGCGGTAGCTAACACAACCAAATCATGCAGCCGTGCAATTCACCGATACGCCATGCAATGCACCATCAGCAAACAAAACTGGGAAGACGAACAACCGGAGACAAAACAGGAGACAAAACAGCAGTGGTCCCAGTCAGTTGGCAGCGACGGCCGCAGCAGCGTAGCCAGTTTTACCTGATAAAAACACTGGCATTGCTACAATAAACTGCTGCAGGATGATTCGCTCGCTTTGGTTACTTCTGTAAGCAGTTGAAATGTCTTTCTTTGTTGATAGTCTTTGTATCTGCACTTTCTGTTATCGACCCCATTGTCAGTAAAGATACAACACACTGGTTCTGCCTGTATCTCGTGTCTGCATCTTGAATTCTCTTAACTAGAAGTGACAAGACCGAGGAGATAAAACTGAGTTTGCCCATGCAAGTAACCTTTCATGATGAGTCAAGCAATGATCAGGAGATTTGTCAGTTGTTATTTGTTAGTTGGCAGATTCCAGATGGATGTAAGAGCAAGACCAAGCAACAAAACAAGCATTCAGTCTTAGAGAATTACAGAATAGACAACCAATCAAAGTTTGATGCCAAAAGAGTTATATTACTCTTATTTAAAATAAGATTTTGTGTCACCACACAAAATAATGTGAGAGAGACTGACATTTCCTTGGATTTATCAGCAGTTCTGTAAAGCATGTCAAATATTAATTAACAAAAGTTTGATAACTTGGGACAATCCCAAAACATATGAATTATTGTGGCTTGAGTCTGCTTTTATTAGTGACACATGTTGGATTTGATTCAGCATCATTTAACTTTGGTTTAGTCAGGTCAGTCGAATTTTACATTTAATAACAGTAAGTTTCATACATGTCAGGATAAATATATTCACTCTGTCAGTTCTGTTTTTATTTAAAACAGTAACATTTTGTTCTGACTCATTCTTGGTTACCAGAAATATCTCCATCTAATATGACTCAGCCAGCGCCTTCAGTCTCAGGTATTTCTCCAAGCAGTAGATAGCAATGGGATCTGTGTTGATGTCAAACTTATTGGCAAAGAGGTGATGCTGAGCAATCATCCATTGCAGGTCTCCAGCCCCATACACACATATTCCCCTCACATAATTGCCATGACATTGTGGATACACTGCATCCAGGGAATCGTCTGGACCCGCATGCCACTGCCACTTCACCAGCCGAGCAATTGCATTGATATCTGTCATGTCGTATTTACGATGGGGCCTTGTTGAACCAGGAACACCAGGCATTCGTTGAATAGTCGCCCAGAGAAACTCATCAGGACTGTAGGTGTCTTTGGCCCACTCTATCAGCGTTTGTATTCGCTCATCTTCCAGCACACTGCGGATGTAACCTCGGCTGACCACAATGTAAGCATTTCCTGACAGAATGGGCAGGTTGAAGGGAGGCGGCGTCTTTTTCTGTCCTGTCCCCTGCGGCAGTTGACATAGTACAATATTATGATGATGACAGTCAGTGAGGTCAGTGTGAACAGAACATTTTGATACTGAAAAGGTTACGTCATCTATCGAGGTATGTATAAATCTTCAGGTTAAGTACCTCGATTCCTCCATCAACTATCCGGTGAGCGTTTGTCACCCTCCAAATCTTTCCATCTGGCATTTTTTCTGACTCCATGCTGTTCCGGCCCTTCAATGAACGCAGTGTCCTCACAATTTCCAAATTGGTTTTCAGGGGGAAATCTTGGCCACAAACGTTGATGAAGTATTTCCATTCTGTACTGACATTATAAAGATCAGCCATACAGTTCAGGTCAGCCTGGACGCGTGGCCAAGCAGCATAGACCACACTCACAGGCCGACTGGCCAGGAAGACGTTGGGAAAACAGGAAATGATGGCCATGATGGCAGCAAGGGCTGAGGCCTCCGTTTTTTTGTCCACATGGACACAATAAATATTTTGAGGTGCATAGATAGCTCGCAGTAGTCGCTCAAAATTCTGCACCTGAAATAAATGAAGACAACAAACAATCAATGATTGAATGATTTGCTTAATCTTTGCATCAGTCTAAAGGGGTACTCCCTGAATGATGTGACAAGTTACAGGAAAGGTGGATTTTACATTTCCCATGATGCAGCTCAACATAGTCATTCACTAGATCTCTGTACCACCGTTCAAATTTCCCATTTGATTCAAAACTTCACAACCACTTATTACGTTCCAATTAAAACTTTTATCCTGAGGGCCATTTTTCCAACCTTTGAAGCGCTTTCTCCAGACTCAAAGAGGACGTATACAGCTGCTCTCACAAACTGAAAAGTACTCTTGTGACAAGTAAACAGAAAAATCACACGTAAAATCTGTGGTGCACCTTTTAAAAAAAGATTAAGGTAAGCTGTGTAGACCTACTGCACAATCCTTTAAGTTCAAATGAATAAAACTTCAGGATTCAGCTTTTGCATACCTTGTGATGTACCACCATAGAGTAAGCCAGAGGAAACTCCTCCTCTTCTTCACTTAATGGGAATGTTATGTATTTCCTGCTTAACTTGAATTTCCTGTCAAAACAAAATTTGGAAGAATTTGACTGAAATCTGGAACATTTCAGTCATGACTCAGAGTTCAACAGTTAGTGATTTAAAGCAACACACCTGCAGTCTTTAGTTGCATTAATATAATACTCGTCAGGGATCTGAACTCTCTTGCGGAAGTCTTTCGTGATGGTCAGAAATTTGGCCTTTTCCAACTCCGCCTTGTTTCCCCGCATGATTGCAGAACAGTTGCACTCTTTCTCCGGACCGCCATCAATATCTGTATACTCCAACCAGCTGTAGTTAAGACTCCAGTCTGTTTTCATATCACTGAGTAGGGAAAGCATCCACACCGATCCCAGCACAACAGTGAGCTTCAATAGCAGTGACAGCTGACCTCGTCTCAGTAGCCGCATTATTTAAACTTATTTCAATCAAAAATATCAGTTAAAAATGCGTAGCGCTACTGTAGACAACTTTTCACTTATTGCTGCATTCTATGAAGTATTGCACATCTACAAAGCTTTAGCAAATGTAGTTGATGCATGTTTTAACAGTCTGTGGACAAGTTCTTCTCATGAAGTCAGGCAGATTCCTCCATAGTCACTGCCCCTGGAAACAAGATAAAAGAAATGATATGAACTCATCTATTCTTTAGTAAAACCTTTGCTAACAAAAAGTTCCTGATTCCATGGGGGACAATATTGGCATGAATTACCAGAAAAACTCCTAGTTAACAGCAGTATTTTTAATAGAAATGCACGTGAAATCATCAATGAAAGCATGATCACAAAAGTATTTACCTTTACAAATGTTTACGCTCATCAACTTTTGGATCATTTAGCTTATGAAAAGGATTAGAAAATGAAATTTTTCCTCTAAAATCTGATTTCATATGAGAAATACTACAATAAATTAGTCGCTAATATCAAAAAAATGTTATCGATTTAGTGGTAAAATTGATTTTTTAAAACTTGAGTTGGCATAAAAACCTGACCTGATACAGAAAAGCAGATGTCATTTTTGGATTCAGTGTTGCAAAAATGTCCTAAATCAGTTTAAAACATTTTTTTTTTGTAACCCAGTGCAATCAGTCATCAATTAAAAAATAAGTTGTGCTGAGAAGATTCTGGCTGTGGCCATGTGTAGAGACTTAGCATCCCCTCTTTGCGTCAATGAAGAAAGAGGGTTTGGTCCAGAGATATTTTTTTTTAAAAAAGCTTCTTTTTTGGTTTGTTTTTTTATTTGTAATTCAGAAAGATGGTTCAAATTGCACTTTAGTGAGTCAGACTGCTGACTGGTTATATTAGAAGTGCCAAAAGGAAAACAACATCTCTGGCATGAGGACCTGCGTTCAAATCTTGGCACTCTAGAAACATTATGTTGCAGCCTTTTTTGACTGAATCATGGAATCAACAATAATCAGTGAAGCAGGAGGAGGTTAGTGAAAGACCTTGAACCACAAAGCTGGTTACAAGCTGGGGAAGCCAGGATGGAAACTGCTCCATCCAGGGATAAGATTTTCTCACCCAGAGGAACCATCAAATTCCCATCAAATAAAAACTCAAAAAGAATTATTGCTTTAGCTATTTTCGAAGCGTTCATACTTTCTGTATTTTTGTCACTGGACGTTCAAAAGTGATCTGCCATCCTATTTGAACGCATATTGTATGTTGGAAAGACAAGTAAAACACTGTAACACCTTATTGCTCAACACAGAAGCACTAATAAATAAAAACAAAACATAAATTATCTAGTGGCAGCACATTAGGTTGAATTTAGTAGTTGTATCTCCTTACTAAGATACAGTGGAAAAGAAAAGTATTTCTTCCTCCATGAGAAGGCAACTGAAATATTTGATTGAATGAAAATCCTGTAGCATATATATTTTGACATTAAGTGTTGTTCATAATGTACTTCCATTTATTGTAAAATGGATTTTATAAAAGGAAATAGATAATAGAAGTTTGGAATTAAATGTATAAAGTAGTATATTCACAGTCAGCTTAAAACATTAGAATTGACTGGAGCGTTACTAATAATGTCCTGCTTCTAACTTAGTTGAAGATAAATACACTTACTGTGGAATAATTCCAGGTAATTCTACCATCTCCAGTTGAACAACTTCTAACAATTGCTCTACTGTAAGTGGTTGACATGTTGTTGATTTTCTGCCTTATTCGAAAGATTATTAAAGGTAGCAGATTTAGTTTGTTTTTTACTTACCCGTTTTAAGCTTTTTTACCAGTTTCTCTCCTCAGATGTTGTTTAATTGAATCTCTCCTGGCTGTTACAACATGCGGTCTCTTGATCCAGTTTTCTTTGTTTTAACCAAGTGCTGCAGGTGCCTTTGATGCACAATTATTTAACCACCGGATGTCAAGGGTGAATCCGGCTCAGAGTAGTAAAATGTAAATGTTTGCAAGTTGAGTTCATGTCAAACTGGTCTGGTGATGTAATCTCCTAACTCATCATGAGGTACCCTGGTGAAAGACTTTGTTGTGTACCTACTTGGATCAGAAGGGTGTCAGAAGGGTGACATACTTGCGTACATCATTCTGTCACCTCTATACCAATTTTCACACCACATCAACTGGCTGTAATTGACACCTCGTAACTGTGCAAACAGACCTGAGTTTATTTTAACTGAAGCTAAACGGGTGAGATGACGGCAGCAGATTTCGGCAGAACTGGAATATGAAGGCCCAAAAGGGAGATAGTTGGTCCCGCCCAGTTTATTTATCCATCAAGTCCAGTGACTGTCTGTAACACTGCAGAGGTGGGTGTTGGTGGTGATCCTTAGCTTTCTATCTGTATGTCCCTTCACAAAATGAATCCACCTCTTCTTGATTTCACCATTCTTTAGGAAAATAAATAAGAGACAGAGGTGCTCTTTGCATTTGCATAACTAGCTAGCAGACTGTAGGTTATAGTGGATGTAGTATGTGACAATTAAGCGGGAGAACCACTGGGCTAATTTGGAATGATGATATGGGTTTCTCAGGGTCGGTAACTGATCATTGGCGATAAATAAGGACCAATGACCATTATACAATAAATGTTATATAAATAATGGATGGATGGATATTAGCAGCATGTGATAGCCAGGAATTTGTTATTCATAACTATGGAACCTTATGAATATCGACTACTGCAACTGAATATGTATTCAACAGAAAAAGGATGATGTCAGTGTGTCACATGATGCTGCAACACTTTCCTCTGTTCACTGAGCGACAGTTTGTCTCCTGTAGTTCTATCTGCTGCTCTTCTCTGTTTGGTGAATCTTTCTCTGCTCTATGAGTTTTATTTCCCACTAAGGCTCAGAACTTTAAACTTCATTCGTTGTTGTTCTCCAGACATTGTTCCCATGTGTTGGACCCACAGGCCACGCATTAAATAAATCAGAGGACAAGGAGAGAAAGTATACAAACATTAATATTTATTATTACACAGTGCATGTAAAGAAAATCACCATTCTACTCATCAGAAGGGGTCTAATTATATATTCTTATTGTTTAATTGTAGCAGCAGGACTCGCTTGAGTTTCTTGAAGACGTTCCACCTCTCATCCAAGAAGCTTCATCAGTTCTGACAGACTAGTTGGGAGTTCCAGATACTTATATCCTTAAGGAGCCATTAACACCTGAGCTTTGGTTTCAATTGGGGATTTGTTGCTCCTCCCCCTTGTTATGTGAGTGGTTGGCACTCCTCCTGCCACACTGGGGTTCGGTTACAGTCTTTTGTGGCTAGGTGTGAATGTGGGTTCATCTTCCCGGGAAGAGTTCTTAGGACTAAATTGTCAACAGGTGAGAGGTGATGCCTCAGACCTCCACCTCTGTTGAGTGATGGCCTTTCTGGTCTTTCCAGTTTGATGGCTTCTTTCACTCCTCCTGAATCCGTCTGAAGGACAGATGGTTTGAGAGAGGACTGAAAGAAGCCTCTTATGTCAAACTGGAAGGATGGACAGACAGTCTGACAACATAAAGCCCCTGGGCCACAGCTGTAACTGTCATAATGAAAGCTGTGCTGACATGGCCCACTGGACAGTATATGCTAGATAACCTAATGCTGTTAGATTTTAAGTTAAAATAACTTGCATGTCCCAAGGGTGAAGGGTTTGGGAAAGAAAAGGCCTGAAGTCGCCCTCTTGTGGTTTGCTTCATACATTGAATAAACCAGACATCTGAGTCAGTTTTTCACTGTTTTAATATGGACTGCTTGAGCAGCCAATAATACTAATTATGTTATTAATGTTGTTTTTGTTTTTATCTCTATATAATCTTTCCCTCGTTTTGATAAGCTTTCCCTTGTTAAAGTTATTACATCAACACAAACTTAACACTCAGTAAAAAGAACCCTTAATTTATCTTAACAACAGTTATATATTGTTGCAGGAACTATTAACAGGAACATGTGGAAGACTCATTGTGACTGTAAATGATACTTTGTCAAGTGAGGCCAAGGACTGAGATCCCAGAAGCAATCATTAACAAAGAACACTGGCCCGGTGTAAGCAATATAAAAGACTCTATGATCATAAATGCTGTAATCTGGTCAGTGAGTGTTTAAATATGAAATGGCTATTTTAACATTGCAATGAATTAAAGGTGATTTCATGCAGCCATTGAATTAAAGCTGCACAGTTAAAGATGAGAGAAGGGGTGAAAATGTCAAGAGAGCAAGAAAGGTTAGTGTCCCTAAAACACTCATGTCTAGACATGTCATATGAGGCCACTGTCCGCAGAATGAACTCATTACTAAAGCAGTTGATGGTTCCTCTTTTTACCAGCATGTATCCTGTGATTGACAAACTGTGCTCTTTGCGATTACCAGATAAGTGAATCAGATCCTAAAGGTATCATATATATGAGCTAAAGGTGAAGCACCTGTTAGAAACGTGTGTGTAATCAAATGTATGTGCTACAGATAAAAACTGTGTGGTTAGCAGTAAACATGTGGAGGGGGGAGAGTTGAATACATTATAAAAAGGCATGACAAAGAGACTTCTTGCTCGTGGAGACTGCTCGCGATGGAGATCACGGAGGACATCGTTGGATCTGAACACTCCTCCACCGATTGAAGAAGTCCTGATGGGTCTGCAAATTCTACTCAAGAGGAGCAGCAGAACCCCTTTTTTGTGTTCTGCATGATGAAGTATTCTCTTCTTTCCCCAGATGGATGCAAAAGTACTGCAGATATGATCAGAGTCAGGACTTCTCATCTCCCCCTGACTCAGGAGGGTTTTGTCCGGGGTTCAGGACTCTGTACTTGGTTGCTGTATCACTGGAAGAGGACTCCTCAAGGCTCAGGTCTGAGCAGGGCTGAGTTAACCAGTCAAGGCCAAGCTGTTTGGCTCTCTCCCTCTCCCCAAATTACTTATTAGGTTACTATTTTAGAAAAGATCAGTTCTATAATTTTATCTCGAATCAGTTGGTTAAATCATATTCTGAAATATTTTGAATGAATGATCAAGAGCTGTAGCTGTGTCCCTGCTAAAGATTTGCAGTAAATATTTAATCCTGCATTTAAAGTTTATTTGGTTTGAAATTGCATTGAATCATTTACAGAATGGCAGTGAAAAGTTAGTCAGTTGTGTGCACAAGATCTTCATAGTGGTTCTTAATGGTTATTCTAAGTCATGAGTAAAATCATATTCTTAAACACAACCCTGGGGTTAGTGTTGCCAAACCTCTACATTTTAACCTAGTAATTACCAAGTGCTCGATCTATCTAAGAAGAAAGCTGCCACTAACAGGTGTGTCTGGTAGTGTGATTCGGCTACTGAGGCTAATTAGTTGGGTCAACTATTAGAGGAAGCGGGATAGGCATCTGGATTAAGGCAGTTAGAAGCTGGGCGAGTTTTCTCGACACCAGCTTAAGCAGTTCTACAGAATCTCAGTAGGTCAAGGGCCTGTAGGCAGGTAGAACCTAACCCTAGGAACGGAGAGTTGGACCAGTAGCCCTGTCACAGGGGTTATACCGGGGCAGATCAACAACCTGTTATTTATTGTTTATAAACCAGTAATACCCAAGAACAACTAACTGTACCTGAGCATGTACATGTAACATTTACAGTAGACTTCTTAACTGTTGTTTATTTTTCAATATTATTTTCAATTTATGGACAAGCAATATCCTGACAATAGTACGAATACATATAAGCTGGTGTTTGTTTATTTAAATATTATTATTTTGTTTGTAGACCACCAATAATTGTCTGTACCTTAGCAGCAGGCCAAAGACGTACTGGACTTACCGTCTGCTTTTTCGGTTAAATGTATTTTAACATTTAAAGCGTTTGTTTCCTGAAATTTTATTTATTGCTTAATGGCAATGTGGAAAAAATACAAATGTGTTAAGCTCATCAAATTGCCAATGGCATTATTTGACCCGACTCCCCGTGTTGACAGAGGTACAGCCTGTTCAAGCAGACATTCATCATGAGACATTGGCTGCATAATACACCAGCCTGAATCTGTCCTGGTATTGTCACAGTGGTGAGCAGCTGCCAACACATCTCACTTTCTGTCAACTATCTGCAGGCTGGTTGCAATCGGCTGGTCAGATAAAATAGTCCAGGGAGCAACTGCAAGGTTGTGTAATGCTCGTAACACCCTACCTAACTTTACTTAGAACTGGTCAAGTATTTCCAACATGTAGAGCAGAGGTGTTGTTGATATCTTGATCTACTGAACAGCCCAGAAGTCTTTAGCTTTCAACCTACTCACTGTCCCAAAAACCTCAAATCAAACTTTACACCTTGCTGTCATGATATACGAAAGTTGCCTTGAAAGTACTTTTTCCATAAGTTTTATTTAATCAGAAATTGGGTGACAAACTTTTTAAATAGTCAAGAAGAAAAGATCCCTGTGCTGGTGAAGGGAAACAGTTCACCCAGGTGACCAAGTTTGATTTGACCTCTTAAGACCCAAACTCTTGTTTGATATGCATTTATTAGAGAATAAAAAATATAAAGAAAAACAAATATGTATATTAAGATTTTTTTTTAAATATAAAAATAGCTGTCTATGTCAATATTTTGTTAGTTATGATTAGAGAAACTGCATTCTTTATGTAGTTTTGGGCTAGCATCCATACACACAATATCACAGCGGCAAATATTCCTGTCAGACTGTAAAACAGAAATATCTCCATATTAAAACACTCAACGTGACAGAAAAATATTTGGTCTTTTGCAAACAGACCAAACATTTACAAACAGTAAAATAATATCCCGACATTTTTGATCACCCCATCTCACCGTATCGTTATGTTCAAAGGAATGACAGATCAATAAATAATTATTACTGTTGTCATTATTTTTTGTTAAATAACTAAATCTATATCTGCGGCTTATCAACAAACATTTGGAGCAATAGCCTTGAATGCCCAGGTCTAACAACACCACACTGGTGATTGATGAGGAAAACAGGTATATGTTGAAATTTTGCGCTTCCTAATTCTAGTTCCTTTTTTCTAGCATTTTTAGGCCTTGTAAATTCATAAGAATTTCATAAATTTACATGGCTGAAAAATACATTAAAGTTCTGTCAAAAACTGCAACTCAGTCAATTTTCCATAAACTGCAGGTGTTACAATCTAAAGCCATTTTTTTTTTTTTGTTTAGCATCATTTTTCTATAACCAACTTTGAGCATCAGTGTGATGGGTTATATCACAGTCACTTGAGCTTCAGTAGCAAAACTGCACTAGGTAAATGTCTGTTTTCTCTTTTCTATAGTTAATTCACCAGAGAATACTTTAAAAAGCAGATTTTGAGTCAACTTCCAAGGGTCATATCACCACGTATGATATGCAGTTGGTTGAAACAAGCTTTTGTATTTTAAAGGTCATTTTTGGATACATCTTGCAATGATTTCTTCTGTGCCAAAATAATTTTGTTAGACTTTTTTGATTTTTCCATCCTTGATAATTTCATGCGGTTATCTTTTGTTCTTATGAAGTCATGAGGACTCACAAATGTATAATACCTTAAAATTAATTCTCCCCATGTACTTGAAGGGCCTGTAATAAATATTCACAGTATGACGGTCAAATTCTGCATGGCCTCAATAAATAGACTAAACCTATTGTACAAAAAAATCAGCTGATTCGGAGGGGGTCCGGTTGGTGGCATTGTGGTTGTACTTGCTGAACGCCACATTAGTAATTGCTATATTTCCTACAACACGTGAAGGCAGCATGTGATTCCCGTGCAGCCCTGGTCACGTGGTCCGTGACGTGTGACGCAGTGCTGTGGACGCAGATGTGTTCAGGGTTCAACACATGTAACATCACCGGCTCTCTGTGCGTATCAGGCTTTATTTTCATCTTTATACTGTGCGCGGACCTGGCCGAAACCGAGACCGTCACTTTCCCAACAACTCCTCGGAGAACACCGTCTCAGGAGCTGCGTGCCTCTGATGAGGCTAACGGTTATTAGCATAGCTAGCATAGCTGGTGAACTTTAACCATCGCTGCTCAAAGGTCCAACTTTATCCGGTTCCAGCAAAGCTAACCAGGCGAGTGAAGCTAACGTCGTAGCTAAACACAGGGACGGGTAAGATTTCAGCTTCGGCTAGCTGTCAAAGCGGAGCGTTAGCCAGCAGAGTAGTCCCGGCTGGTTAGCCGGTCTGACTTCCTTGTGTCGTTCGAGGTCATTCTGTAGCGTAGATAGCCAGCTGTTGTCGGGATACCAGCCATGAAGAGCCTCCCGTACTTCTGCCGGGGAGAGGTCATTCGAGGCTTTGGGAGAGGAAGCAAAGAACTCGGCATTCCCACAGGTGAGCTGATTATTCCTCTGTTTGGGCTTTTCCTGCAAGCTAACGTTCAGTCTAGTCTACGTAGGTGACGTTAAGTCGGTCTGAACAGATTATATCACACCGCGGAGCCAGAGACCCAGAGTGACCTTACACCGAACATCGACGGTGTTCGGTTGTTCATTACGTCTGAGGTGATTTGATAGATCCTTGATGTCGGTTCGTACCGGCTTCCTGCCCTTTTACTGACTTCTGCTCTGCTGCACTGATGACGACAGCTTTTTACGCAACCAGCTGTCGGTGTGTTAGCGGCGGTAAATGTGAGTTGAATAACCGAACCTGATGATGAAAGCGCCGGTTTTTACCGAAATAGTGTTACGTAATCATGTCTGTTTCCAGAAGTGTGTAGTACTGTCGATCTAGGGCTGATCGATAAGGCAGCAGAAAAAAATCATAATAAAGTACCTAATTTCAGCCTATTAAGAGCCTGTTCTTAATTAATGCTAGGAGAAAATTGGTATAACAATTATTATTGCACTACTATTATTATTTATAAGTGCAGAGGTTGTAATTTTAATGCTGACACAACAATGGAAAAATACACAAATTAATTTACACAGGTAAATAACAATAATGATGATGATGATGATAATAATCAAATCATCAAATCAAATGTTATTTATGTAGCACTTTTCATGTACGACATGACAACACAACAACAACACAAAGTGCTTTACAGCATTTAAAAACATCATTAAAAACATTACAACATGTAAGAATATTATAATAAATAATAATAATAATAATAAATAAGGATAAAGGAAGGATCTGGCATTTCTACACATTAAATAAGTAAAGGTAGTGAACCCTCACAAGGGCAAAGTCACAGCACCGACTTTGCAGTAGTCACCCTTTTGTTTGTTTATGTGTTACCTATGTTTAATCAAGAGAGAATTTTTAATAACTTGTCTTTCACTGTTGATAACTAATCAGATAATGCTGTGGGTGGGACATCGCTTGAGTGATTACACACATTAACACTTTAGGTGGACGCCTTTTAGTCAACGCACTTAAGTTTGTTAAAAAAAAAAGAAAAAAGAAGAAGAAATATATATAAAACTAATAAAAGCTTTTACAAATGAGTTTAGCATGTTTTAAAATAAATAATTTACAATAAAAGGGTTTGTGAAGATATTTCTAGCCTTCATTATCCTATCAGGCAGATGATGCATAAATAATGTTCTCTTCTTTGAAGTGCCGTTGAGCTCGTCTCCAACTTCTTTCATAGTAACCCTTTTCCTTCATCCTTCTTCTGGCTCCTTCCTCTGATCTTTAGCCAACTTCCCAGACTCAGTGGTGGACCATCTTCCAGCCGATATCAGCACAGGGATCTACTATGGCTGGGCCTGCGTTGGGAACAGCGATGTGTACAAAATGGTGATGAGCATCGGCTGGAACCCTTACTACAAAAATACCAAGAAATCCATGGTAAGTGTTGCCTGGTGTTCTACTCAGAAAGCAGAAGAATTGTTGACATTTTAAATGTCAAACAGTCTTTTATGAAGCAAGATTTCAAGCCAGTGACGGTCTGGTCACAAGTTAAATTCTTTCTCCACAGCTTTGGCTTGAACATCAGATTTTCCACAGTGGAACATTTGAACCAAAGACGAGAGCTGCTCATTGAGCTTGTGTTATGTTCGATTGGACATTTGAATGTATTTGTTGGTGTACTGACTTTAACCTTGGTGCTGGATGTCACACTGAACTGAGCTCTTTTTGCACCGGTTCTCTAGAGTTAAACAGGACCAAATTAAATGAAGTCATTTTAATTTGCTGTGAGTCTTGTGGAAAAACTCTACAGTATTCTAAAATTCTGTTCATTTGATGAAGGCTTTGGCAAAACTGTTGAGAATGCCATTTTTAGTTTTTTTTTTTGCATCTGATGAGAACTTTTGGGCCATCAGAGGGTGTCCTGAACTCGAAAAATCCTTTCCACTGTTCATATTTTGGTCCTATTTTTAAATTGTTGAAGTAATGTTGCAAAATGTACTCACACTCTATACGCTGGCATTTTTTAGCACAAGTTAGCAACTTGTTGATTTCAATATATCTATATATAGATCTAATATATTCTGGTTTGATAGCACAAGTACAATGCAGTCAACTTTGGAATTTGCCATTTAAATGTGAAAATAACCATGATTTAATTATTATTTTTTGCTCCAGGAGACCCATGTGATTCACACGTTTAAAGAAGACTTTTATGGGGAAATCCTCAGTGTTGTCATGGTGGGCTACATCCGTCCAGAGAGAACCTACGACTCACTTGGTACAGCTTTCTCTCACAGACACATTTTAGCACATAATCTTCATATCAAAACCAATGATTCAGTAGTACTTAGTTTTTTTTCTTGTTCCTACACACACATCCTCCTTTTTTCACCTCCGTCTTGCACGTACTCTGACTTTACTCACTTCTTTTCTACACATCTTTGTCTCTGTACAAACAGAAGCCCTCATCGCGGCAATCAACAGTGACATCGAGGAGGCCAAGGTGAAGCTGGAGCTCCCAGAGCATCTCAAACTGAAAGACGACAACTTCTTCACCAGCACGGCCAGCTCGTCTTCAGTCTTGCCCTCCACCACTGCATCCACGTCACAGACTATTATGAACGGTCACTGACAGCTGGCTGGGACAGCAGCACTCGGTGCATACGCTCACAGACCAGAGCAACACAGAGGTTTCTATGTACATACAGGTTTGTGTAAATGCACAGCCTCATTCTGACGTCTCTCTCAACTGTCGCTATAACTGCACATGGACATAATCATAAACAATTATTTTTGTTGCATTTTTCTTTTACGTTGTCAGTGTTTCTGCGTTAAGGCACTGTTTTGCTTTCTGTATGGGTTTTGTTGCAGCCAATCACTGAATATGTTTATTTGTATGTGTTCACACCAGATTGCCTCTTTGGGTCACACTGGTCTTGCTGTATATTTGGATTCTTTTATGAGAGAAAGCACTGAAAAAAAAACTCTTCATCTTGAGATGGGAGTGACCACAAATACAGGCAGTTTTGTAAGAAGCTGTATAAAAAAAAATCAACAAAGGAAGACCATAAACTCAATCCCATTAAAAAAATAAAACATTAAAGTAAAAACTTTGCCAGGTTAGTAATATTTGACTTATTTAAGTTTGTTGTGTTTAGGTTTGTTTCTGCCTCCATTGGCTAAGGAGGAGGTTTGGGCATTATTATTATTTGTCACACAGTTTGACAACATTATGCAACAGTGGGGCTAAATGCAAGGCATCTGTGGAAACCATGGTTAAATTCTGAAATTATGTTCATTTAATGGAACTCTTCTCCCTCTTCAGAAAGTCTTTCCCTTTCATTGTGAACAATCCTTGTTTATCACTGCCCTAAATTGTATGAAACCTCTGCAGTGGAACAGAGATTGGATTTGGTTTCACGCATTTGCTTTTTTTTTTTTTTTTTTAAACAGTTAATGTTTTATACACAGGAATTACTTTATAACCTCCAGCATGGTTATTGGTTCAATGAACTGTGTACAAAAAGATCTTTGAAGCATGGGCCTTTAAATGATTTCACCGTATTCATCCTCTGTTTTCCTATTATCAGCCTCGTGAATCAATAGAGAATTGTAGATAATCTTAAGGACACTACTGCAGAATTAGAGACTAAGTTCTTATGCACATTGGATAAGTTTTAGTTTTTTCTCTGCACCTTGCCAGTCTCTACGGGTTTGTTACAGATAGTAAAGCATTAATAGGTGAATTGAAGAACAACAAAAACTCACAGCTCGTGTTATGTTCTCCTGTATTTGCAGACGGCAGCAATCTTTGAAGTGTGTGAACATTAATTTCTATCATTAAGATGTGAAAGAGCAGGAAAAAAATCTACAATACACACTCATATTCCTAAAATCTATATACGTATATTTTTTTTCCTTTCATGGGATCTCTCAAAAATTTTGCAAATATATTCCAAAACTGTTGACGAATCTCTGAAGGAGGAGTGTCTCTCCATAGTGTGTGTGTGTGTGTGTGTGTGTGTGCCTGTTACGCTTTTACAAGAAAAATGACATGAAACATAAACCTACAAGTGTCTGCAACTATTTGAACCGCTGTAAAAATAATTTTAAATGAAGAAATATGTAACTATAGCTATTTGAATTTAAATTTTAGACCTGTATTGTATAATATTTAGTTTGTTAAAGTGCTATTTAGGGAGCAAAAGATATGACTGCATTTTATGAGTGCTCACAGTTATCATGCAGCAGTAGCTATGATCCATTCACAAGAAGCACTTACCTGTTTATTGCCTGTTCCTTTGCATTCTCAGTCTGGTAGTTTTTTGTGTATTTTGATTTCATCAGTTACTTTGCTACCAGGGACTGAAGTAACTAAAATGTGCTGCTTCGTCAAACCTGTCAAAGATTTTAAGAGGGAATTGTCTTTACAGTTTTAACCACACTGTATCCTGTTGTAGGCTTAAGTGTATTCCAGTCTCGTTTGTTGCAGTTATTTATTCTAGTTTACAGAGGGACCAGGGTTACAGCATGTAGGGGGTAAAGGTTCAACGCTTCTTTTATGTTTTCATTTATGTGTTTTATATAATTTAAACCAAATAAATGATTTGATCAAAAAACACTTGAGATAGTTTTCTTTTTTAAGACTTTGACATATAAAATCAGACAATACAAAAATGACTTTGACCTCCAACATTTCCCTAAACTTGGCTGCATTTATTTTACCCTCTACCTTTACAAGTCTTCCAGAGCATCCTGCCCAGAAGCAACCACACATCATGATGCTACCACCACCGTGCTTTATGGTGGAAACGATGTGGTTGTGATGTGCCTGTTTAGTGTTCAGCAAACATAGTGTCTAGTCTGACGGACAAAAAGTTTGGGCTCCTCTGGCCAAAAAAACCTTCATCCAGTTGATTGCAGACTTTCACCAAGGCCTTTGGGTAAACTATAACCATGACTGAATATGAGCTTCTTTGTCAAACCCCCAAGAAAGGTTTGACTGATGAAGATCCCTGTAGCAATTATTGTTTACACACTCTCTCCTTTTTGAGCCACTGAAGTTTGTAACTCCTTCAGAGGAGTCTTAGGTGTCTTGGTTGCCTCCCTTTCTCATCTCTGTCTTGTTTGCTCACTCAGTTTCTGAGGTTCTGCTCTGTGATGATTTACGTAGGTGCCATATTCCTTCCATTTCATAATGATGGATTTAACTCTACTCCGACTTAGATATTTCTTGTATCCTGACTTCTGCTTTTCAGAAACTTTTTCACAGAGTTGCTTAAAGTTTTTTTTTTTGTTTTTTGGAGGGTTTTTGCCTTCATTGTGTAGCTAAAGCTAGGAGTAGGGACTTACCAGTGGCTGAACCTTCTAGATTCAGGTGTCTTTATATTACAGTCACTTGACACATATTTACTTGGACTTGTGTTGAATTAGGTGAGTCACTTGAAAGGGAGGGAAAACCTGTACAATCACTTATTTTATATTTTTTAATGAATTTACGCTACTTTGTTTCAATCTGTTTTCACTTTGACATAAAAGAATCTTCCTGTTAAAATCTCAAATTGAACACGATTCAATGCTAAAAAGCCACAAAAAGGGAAAACTTCTACGGTGGTTGAATTTTTTTTTTTTACAACCTAAACACACCAAATTCAGTGTGAACATGCCCCTCAGCTCAGCAGTCATATGCATGGTCATTCACGCTTGCAGCACACATTAAAATTCAGTTTTATTAGGAAACAGTCACCCACAGCACATTTTACATCAACCATGTGCAGAAAAAAGTAATTATTTGCATCTGCACACTTTCCAGTGGTTGTGAAGCAGATTTGTTAGCATCTCAGGGAGACAATACAAGATAGACGTGGAGTCAAAACATTTCACAAGAGCTAAAAGAAAACCATTTTATGGGAAAGTTGCTTCACCTGCAGTTCTCTGTTTAAAGAGGATGTCTGTACAGATGCACAGAGGAACAACATTTCTCTGTAGACTAAACAAGAAGAAAACCGACTGCGTGAGCTCATTCTATGTAAATCTCCTTGAAAAGATCCAGAGTGTACCAGAGTTACAGATCAGACTGTGCTTTAGAAGGAATTTTGCCTTGAATTTTCAGGGAACTCCTCCCGTGTGACCCACAGTCCAGTTAAACAAAGAAACAGCAGTACAAAACGGTAACATTACAACAACGATTACCAAACGTTTCACACCACATGATGCAGAACCAGAGGGAGTGTATTACGTAAGCGCTCATCAAAGTTATATTAATGCAAACTCCTGCAAAGATTAATGTATTGTTGCATCTTTTTTTCTAAATTCTATCATCAGACAATAATCACTGAATCATTTTATGCCGTAAACATTTTTCTTCGAATGAAATTATTTTTTCTAGGAAAAGTAAACAAACTCTTGAAAATTAATATGATTGTCACACACATGAACCACATTAATGCCCTGAGGTTTGTGACCAAAAAAAGAAACATACGTCCTACAGCATGTCTATGAGACAGGTCCAGTCAATGGACTCGGCTGCATATTCCAACAGTAAAGCAATTTTTCTTAATTTTAAGGCAGAGGGCATAACCAGAGGTAAGTTTATGTCTCAGATCACATTCACAGTGATTGATTAGCAAATTGAATGCAGCTGACTGAGTATCTTATACTGACACCAGGAATCGACTGTATATCTCTAAGCTACTTCTCAAAACCAAACCTTGCGATGATTTCCAAATAAAACAAGCCAGACACGGCCTCTGTAGAAAGAGCTAGAGAAGCACTTTCAGTGAAAATGTTGATTAGGCCAAGATAATGAGGTTTCAAAATGTAAAGCACAAAATGTTGTTTTTGTTATACCCATAACTCCTCTCAGTATATATTGAATGTACAATAAGAATCAATATGTTACCCTGCTCTAACTACTAAATATACCAACATATTCTGTTTTTGTTAACAAAAACAAGAAACACATTTCACAACATAGACTAATATGAAAGGAGGAACCACTCATGTCTGTTTCTTTTCAGCTATATGAGTAGCTCTCATCATCGTACTCTAGCTCAATGTCATCTTCATCCAAGAGTCCGTACTTGAACCTCCGATACACCGTTCCATCTTGTCCCATGTACACGATATCCTCACCGTCATCTTCTTCTTCATCGTCTTCGCAACCAATGATTCTGTCGCTGTACTCCCCGAATGAAGTGGTGGTGGGTTGGGATGCAACACCTCCATTGGTGCTCAGTTGCTCATAGCCTCCAGCTTTGGTTTTGGGTGCGATGCCGGCTGATTTAGATCGAGTGCTGAGGAAGACGAAGATCCCCGTGCCCACAACGAGGATGATCAGAACACCAGCAGTGGTAAAGAGTCGGGCTGTGCTGCCTTCAGCCTCGTCTGTTGCCTTCATCACATAGTTGACACCCAGGATGCACCTGGCTGTAAAGAAGGAGAAGGAGCAGACTATTAGGGTGCATCTCACAAATGTAATGTTTGTTTCTGGTGAATCCCTGCTTGGGATGAATGTTTCAATGAGATGTTGTCTTGTCTGTGGTGCTGCAAGTGAAGAAAGTTTGAAAAATGTCTTGTGATTTAGCTAAAATACTGAAAACACCCATTTGGCAGCAAGAAGAAACTCGTGTCTAATCTGTGGGAAACCCATCAATTAGGTGAATTATACAGGACACCCTCAACAGATAGATGATGCCCTGAAAGAAGACTGGTGACTCATGCACACACAAACACTGTTTTCCACAAATACAGTATCTGTTCACAAACTTTGCATTGACACAATGATGCAAGAGGCCAAAGGAAAATGTGTGTGTTTTGCTGGAAGTTTGTGTTTACTTATTGATGACTCGCAGTTACAGCACTCCCTGGGTATCAGCTTGTCATCGTGGCGCGACTCATTCCCACAGCAGCTCAAGCAGCGACCATCATCAGTAACGGACGGGAGTGTGTGGCACGCGGTGCAGTTCCACAAGCTGGGACCTCGGCAGCTCAGGCAAGACGGGTCGCATGCCTTGCAGTTTGGTTTGCCGCTCTTTGACCCAGAGTCCTGGAGCGATGAAATGTTACACAGCAGACTGAGTGCTACTTTCACACGTTTGCTCTTCGTATACTTCTCCATAACTTACAGAGTAGCCGTACTGCAGCCATAATATGTTATTCATCTTTTCATGAGGCAAATTTTAAAAGCACAGTTGAGTTTACACAAATTCGTTGTCACCTGTGGAGCAGCGTAGAAGCCCACCACACACGGGTTGTTACAGATGCCGTTTGAAAAAGTGAATCCATCATAACAGGATTTGCAGTACAGAGTGCCTTCATCTGAAAGCAGAGAGAAGTCACACAGTAGGAAGCATCAAGTCTAATCACATGGCTGGACTAGATTTTCTGAGTAAAAAGCACATCAAGAAGCACAGAAGAAATATATATCATGGGTTGGGGGTTGAGGGGGTGATATAACATTATGATGACATTTATTGTAAGTGCATAGAGACAGTCACTTATCCGACAATGCAAGGTGATTGCCCCAGAAATACTACTTTAATTTACTTAGTTTTCAAAAATGTATCACTACAAAAAACTATTATGAGAACGGGTATTCTTTATTGTCATAGTTTAAGAAATAGTGAAGAAAGGCTCAGCTACAGAATGATCGTCCCCGATCTTATTTGGCCTTAATATTACAATATAGTTCAGTGCCTGCTCTCAGC